GTCGTTTTAAGTGCATTGCATATAAACAAATAACAAATAATATGAAACATTAACTATATTCGAATGCGTCGAAAAATAATCGATGTCGAAAGATTTTAATATTTCAATGATTTCCTGGCTACAAGGATTCTCTGTCTCTATACAAAAACAGAAATACTCTCTAATCTCAAGAACCTGACTCAATACATTGTCCAGGTGTACACATTAACTTGGTTTCTTATCAAGAGAAGTTCTAGTTTTCATACTTCTCCTTCCATAGTGTTCGAGATGATACAGCAGGTTAAAAAAAAAGAAGATAAGGCAGATCTGTTTAAAAAATTTGTCAAAAAATTCTTACTGCCTTCTTCCAGAAAACTTTGTCTATTGTCTACTGAAATTTAATGATATTGAAAATAGGGAAGAGGAGTTGAAAGTAGTAAAGAAAGTTAGGGCTGCAAAGAAAGCTATTCCAAGAATAACAAATCTGTATGATCTCCAGATAAACTTTGATGCTGACAGATGGCAAGATCTGATAAATCTGTCTATTGCAGCCGAACCTGCTGTCACACAAATATTTGAAGATCAAGTGATCATTGAACACCTGATGTCAGGAGAATCCCTTGATCTTCCTGATTTTCCATCCCATGCTCAATCAGTAGAACGTGCTGTCAAGCTAGTTTCGGAGGCTTCTAGTTCCGTCTATGGCTTGGAGGCCAGGCACAAATATATCCTGACTAAAGTAAAGAGCAGAAAGTTGAGGCTAGCTTTCAAATCTAAAAGTGAATACACTTTTAATTATCAATAAGTGTACTGATATACTGATTCCTGAATACATTTTTTATTAAAATATGTGTAAACTTTTTTTTAAATAAAGCAAAAAGGTTTATTTAAGAATCCACTTGACATCTTTAATCATAAAAATAACTTTTCAAACTCAGAATTATGACGAAAAATGTCAAAAATAATTTCAAAAAAAGTTAAAATCAAAGTTTCCAGCTAACTTTGTTGTTTTTTAATTATATATATTTTAAAATTTTGATTTTTTATAATAATCATGAAAAGCAAACTTATTTTTTTTGTGTTCTTCACTCTTCAGTTAAGATTTGAAAAGTGTGAAAGGCTTGCAAAATTTAAGGGGGGGGCTACGCCCCCCCCTTTACAAGTCTAGGGGGGGGCACTGCCCCCCATGCCCCCCCCTGTATACGCCCTTGCTTAGTCTGTTCCACTTTAGTATGTATTCACTTTGGGTTTAGGGAGGGGTTAAGGGGGAATACTGTATTTGAGAAGAAATCACCCAAGGTTATTTTTTAGGAAAAGACCGGCATTCTCTTTATTGGACAAGGTGAGTAATAAATTAAAGGCTATGCAAGGACATGAATACATTTATTGGAGTGGATCATTTTCTCAATTCACATTGTGTCAATTCACATTGTGTCAATTCATATTTTCTCAGTTCACATTTTCTCAGTTCACATTTTCTCAATTCACATTTTCTCAATTCACATTTTCTCAATTCACATTTTCTCAATTCACTTTGTGTCAATTTACATATTTTCAATTACTACATTTACTGGTATAAAACGCATATTAATATTTTTCATACCATTGCATTTGATCAACTGAAACAAGCACACATAAATTTTGTTGAGTTTTGATAATATTGACTTACAAAATTTTGATACAAGTCTACTCATAGTAGAGAGATTGAAGTTTGCATCAGCATATTCAGTCCCCTCCTCTGCAGCAGAAGGAATACTCATTTTTTATTGATTGCTTATTACTCCATCTGATAATAATTACTCCATCAGTGGGATGGTAATTATAACTCAGGACTCGCATGGGTGGTAATTAACACTCCAATGGAGTAATCAGTGTCCTGAGTGCTAAGTACTATCCATCTGATGGAATTTATTAGTATCCTGACTGCTAATTACCATCCCTCTGATGGAGTAATTAGTCTCCTGAGTGTCAATGATCATCCCTGTTGTCGAATAATTAGTGTCCTGAGTATTAATTACCATCCCTGCGGTGGAATAATTAGTGTCCTGAGTGTTAATTATCATCCCTGCGGCGGAACAATTAGTATCCTGTGTGTTAATTAACATCCTTCTGTTTGAGTAACTATTGTCCTGATTCTTAAATGCCATCCATACTGTGGAGTATTTAGTGTTTTGAGTTACCATTCATCAGGTTGAGTAATTAGTGTCATGCCAGTTAATTTCCATCCCTCTGTTGAAATAATTAGTGTCCTGAGTGTTCATAATAATCCCTCCTATGGAGTAATTAGTGTCCTTAGAGTTAATTACCATCTATTATGTGGAGAAATTAGTGTTCTGAGTGTTAATTATCATCTCTCCGATAAAGTATTTAGTGTCCTGAGTGTAAAACGTAAATTACCACCTCTCTGATGGAGTAATTAGCATTGAATAAAAAAACATTCCCTCTGGTGAAAACAGTTTACCTCCGGTGGCCTCCACTCTATCGGAGGTGACCCAATATGCTGCTACAAAGTACAATCTCTCAATTATGTATGTATAGAGTGGGCATTTTTCCTTGTTCGTTTTTCGTTTTTCGTTTTTTCCTTTTCTATTAAATATATCTTGCAAATACGAACCTGAAATGTTTAAGGACTTGATACTGTTCAGAGTTATGGATGCACTACTAACATTAAATTGCCATTTGAACTTGGAAGTTTTATGCTGGGAGGTAAGAATTAATTTGAATAAATCTCAAATATCTATATTTTCTCCTGGTTTTTCTTTGTTGCTCTCACATTTTCATATGCTTTTTCTTGTCAACAAATTTTTGTCTGTTTTTGATTTATTTATATTTAATTATTGTTTTTGTTTTGTTAAATTTCCCATGGTAACCAATCATTAAACAAGCAAACTGTTTTTATCTTTAATAATATTTACTTATTTACAATGTTTACCTTGAATAAAACTCCCAACTTTCCTTTTTAGGGTCTTATTATTTGAGTATATTTTAAAAAATGGAAATATGATAAATAATATGATAAATAAACTAATGTTTCATAACAAAAATATTAATATCCACAAAACTGGCTAAACCCATTTGTGAAACCCAGGTTTAAACTGGTTTTCATAACCATATCCTGTCTCAAGGAGATATTGAATAAAAGGAGGGGGCAATAGGGTTTCCGTACACTGTGATGTTTTTGGACTGCTGAAGAACTAGTTTTTGCGTAACTACGATAATAAAGATTGTAAACATCAATAACACAAATGATAAACAGACATCTAGGGGGGGGGGGTAGGATAACCTTGAATTTGATTGAAAATGTATCTGTAATAAGGTCCTTTTTGTATAAAACAAAAATCCTTAACTTTTTCAATCTTTTTAACAAGATAATACTACTTTCACAGTTTACTAACTCATGTTTGTTTACATTAGATCAGCTGCCTTTGTTATTGTTGTTACGCAAAAACTAGTTCTTCAGCAATCCAAAAACGTCACAGCAAAGTGTACGGAAACCCTATTGCCCTCTCCTTCTATTCAATATCTCCTTGCCTGTCTTAAATTTTGGGCTCTAATAGAAATATTATGAATATAATTTCAAATAAAATGTTTTCCAGATGATTTTTACTGGGGTAAATGAATATATTCTGATTATCTTTTCATTTACAAATGTTGTATCAATTGTAGCTTGCATTGATTTATAATGATTTAAATTTATAATTACTTTTCCCCAAAGACGGTAGAATAGTAGAAGATAGGGCATTAGAAATTTATCCGAATAGTGTGTGCGCTCTGTACACTTTGATATGACGTCATTGGCTGCAGTACTATTGGTTTTAAAATCAAACAATAAACATTAAAACGTCAGTAACTAAATAATTTAATCATTGTAGATGCTAAATATGGTGGGAAAATAACGACTAAATTTGTTCTAATCAGTTATAAAATAGGATGCTCTCCTGCTAAAATAAAGCTAAAATTGTGATTTTGTTACGCATCTCATTTGTACCCAGCTGGAAAATTTCTCTCGATCGGAATTCCGATTTCTGACTTGAGGAATTCCGTCGTAGGAATGAANTCATCCTTTTTGATTTCATATCGGAAGAAACAGTTTGTCTTTTCATCCTCAAAGTTCTTCAGACGGACTGATAAATTAGTTTTGATCCGACGATGGAGTCAAACTCCGACAGCAAACAATTGCGGACTAAAAAAAGACAGCTTTTAATCATCCGATGCCGGAGCTCCACAAAAAGACATTTGCGGATGAAAAAAAGAGTTCCGATCACAGTAGAAAATAAGAAAACGGTGGAAAGAAAAAATAATTTTCCAGCTGGGTATAAAAAATACTACATATTTTAAAACAAAACTTGTTAGATGTCATTAAGCATAGTTTTGTAAAAGTCTTAGGCCAGTAACGTGAGCACGGCCCAACAAACCTTGAAGTTTATCAAATCAGTCTCTCTCATAACCTGCTCCCGCCAACAACAAGCAACTCTCTCTCCCTCTCCCAAACCAGATCTAACCAGCTGACCCGGCTGTATCATGGCAGGAAATCCAGTTCAACAAACATGAATATTACATACAGGCTTCTAGAGTTGTATAAAGCTGGAGTGAGTTCTGGACTAGATTTGAAACTTCACCTGTGGTCTAGAGATGGACAAGAATTCTTCTCTTTTACGCGTTTTCCTGGACATAGGCACAAGGAAACCTATAGCTCTACCCAGAAAAGAAGATGGAGGAGAGAACAGTACTTAATACCTGAAACCGAGAAAACCAACCAAGTTAAGGATAAGGAACAGAGAACCACCCTGAATGATGTGAGGAACCCCCTGAAGGAGCAGAGACCCACCCTAGACGATGTGAGGAACCCCCTGAAGGAGCAAAGACCCACCCTAGATGATGTGAGGTCCCCCCTGAGGGAGCTGAGACCCACCCTGGATGAAGTGAGGTCCCCCCTGAAGGAGCTGAGACCCACCCTGGATGAATTGAGGTCCCCCCTGAAGGAGCAGAGACCGACCCTGGATGATGTGAGGTCCCCCCTGAAGGAAAAGAGACCCACCCTAGAAGATGTGAGGTCCCCACTGAGGGAGCTGAGACCCACCCTGGATGAAGTGAGGTCCCCTCTGAAGGAGAAGAGACCCACCCTGGATAATGTGAGGTCCCCCCTGAAGGAAAAGAGACCCACCCTGGATGATGTGAGGTACCCCCTGAAGGAGCTGAGACCCACCCTGGATGAATTGAGGTCCCCCCTGAAGGAGAAGAGACCGACCCTGGATGATGTGAGGTCCCCCCTGAAGGAAAAGAGACCCACCCTGGATGAGTGAGGTCCCCCCTGAAGGATCTGAGACCCACCCTGGATGAAGTGAGGTCCCCCCTGAAGAAGCAGAGACCCACCTTGGATGATGTAAGGTCCTCCCTGAAGGAGCAGAGACCCATCCTGGATGATGTGAGGTCCCCCCTGAAGGAGCAGAGACCCACACTGTATGAAGTGAGGTCCCCTTTGAAGTAGCAGAGACCCACCCTAGACGATGTGAGGTCCCCCCTGAAGGAGCAGAGACCCACCCTGGATGATATGAGGTCCCCCCTGAAGGAGCAGAGACCCACCCTGGATGAAGTGAGGTCCCCCCTGAAGGAGAAGAGAACCACCCTGAAGGGTGTTAGATCCTCATTGAAGGAGGAGAGGCGCCCATGGAAGGAAGGAGGACGCCGTAAACCTAAGAAGGATGTATGTCCCCCTAAGATAGGAACCATAGTGAAATATTTGGAACTTTTTCCCCAGCTGGATGGAGGTTGTACGCCAGACATACACGTTCCTACTCCTGGTACACTCGGTACACTCTTCCAGACTGAACCCGAATTTAAGCTTGACAAGGAAGAACAAGAATCTGATCCTAAACCACCCCTTCCTCCACCTAATTTAATCAATCCAATATTCAGGTATTGTCAGGATAAAACTGTTTTTTGTGTTCAACAAAATCTACAGTAAAAATTGGTGAATTTTTTGCTTGTTTCCCCCAAAAGGATAACTTGAGAGCTAGTTGTCAACTTATTCATTGGCATAGAAACGACAACATTCTATGGCTTCTAATTGAACCCAATTGAGGTGTCTGGTTTTGTTTATAAATTCCAATGCATTCTCTTTATATTACAAAGCTTTTTGCTTTTCCCATTCATGTATTTATCCTTGAAATAATCCTGTAATCAGTGAAATATTGTGTACATTTAAAAGGTCATAGTGTACATAGGTTATATGCAAGAGACATGAAGATTGCACAAAAAATATGTACTTTATGGGTTTTTTGTACAAAATTACAATTTGTATTCAGAATATTCTAGATATATAAATAAATTCTAATGACCATTATTCAAAGATGTGGGGCCGCCGCATTCATGCTCCAGTATTTGTTTGGACTCAAATTTGTGTATAAAATATATACCCATGTTTACCAAAGTAGCAAAGTTAAGGGTTTTCACAAAACTGTTCTCTCTTGGATGTCAAACTGATATATATAATACAAGGTAGAGGGAAAAAGAAAGATCAGAGCAAGAATTAATGAAAGTATAAGGAGAGAAGAATAAGAATGAAATCATGAATTATAAAAGTGTTGTGAGAAAGAACAATGAGAACAAGAATAAGAGAGGGAGTGTGTTATGGAAGAAAAGCATAAAAGAATGTATGATAGGGAAAGAGATGAAAAACATTAATATACAAAATGAAAAGAGGGTTAAGAGTTTTGAAATCAAAATAAGTTTATTTATATTCACAGGAGTCTCTGTTCTTAATGGAAAAATCTACATCTACAATTACAACAAGTAAGTTTATGGAACTTTTTTTACAAATAAGTTGCTCTAGAAATCAGCTAAGTGAACAGCAGCACTAAAATACTAATTTTTGATAACTCTGCATTTATTTTTATATACATAATCAAAATAATAAAGCTAACAATAATATATAATATTTATAACAAATATTAACAATAATGACAACTTAAAAGGCGAGTGGAAACATTAGGCACTTTTGTTCAAGCTGCTTTGGTTTGTACAGGAAAATTGTTCATATTTACAAATAGGGGAAATTATCAGGGGAAAAGTGATTGGAGAAATTTGAACCATCTTTTTAATTTGCACTGATTTTGACATCCTTTATGTTTAATTATATCCATTCTTAAATATCATAATAGTATCACATTACATTTAAGATTGATGGTTTGGAAATGACTAAAAGTACGGGGAACTGTAAACATAATTTCAAGTGACCTTGGCCATTTAAAGAGGGACATGCCCAATTCACATTGGTACTTTTAAAACCTTATCAAAGAGGACAGAATAGAACTGTTTTTTCCTCTTAAATATTGTGTAAAAACCCATAAAATTGGAATGTATGCTAGCGTATTTTGTGAACTCAATTCAGATGACATCACATTTATTCCTGGAAAATTCTAAATATTCTTTGTCCTTAGCGGGTTTTGAAATTTTGTAAATATCTATACTCTGCTATTTTTAGAAAGTAAATATTAATATTTCTTAAATTTAACAGCTTGCAAGTAAATTAAAAATGAAATGTCCGTAATCCTTTATTAGTCAAGTTTTAGAAGGATACCACTGGAAATTAGGGATACCCATTTTGAATGGAAGGTCGCTTGAAATTATGCTTACAGTCCCTTTAATATGGAACAAACAATTTATAAAACAAATATTTTAGGATACATACTATGAATGAAAAATTCAAAAACATTACATTTGCATAAAATTTGATATTATCATGATGTAAGGTTTTTGATTATGATATTTTTGATAATGTGATAATGTTTAAAAATAGGAAAATGATTTTATTTCCAATTAAGATGTTACTATGGAAGTCTTGAATCCTCAGAAACAGAACCCTGGGAAGCGTCTAACTGTTTATCAGTAGGAAAAAGTTATCCTAGCATGGTTTCCATTGGCCACCAATTCATTATTGTGTCGGGTGGTTGGTCAAAGTAAGTAAACATTTCTTTAGACTTTATGCATAGATTTATAATGATACAGATAGAACACTAAATGTCGTCTAGATTTAGGCGTTTTTCATTCCCAATAACCCTAAGACAGAGAGAGAGAGAGAGCATCCGCATTATTCCTTTGGGCTTCTACCTCAGGGTTATTGTGAACTAAAAACCCCTAATTTTGAAAACTCTTCTTATTTAAAAGGCTATTAAGAAGAACAAATATGTTTTGAATTTATAATATGTAACCGAATCAATTTGTTTTTCTTACACTTTTGAGTAAAATTAGAACTATGAAGAGAAACTAGTCAAAAATTTGTAACCATAATATATTGTAATTTGACCTCCTCCTCCTGGTTAGTTCGCAATCTGCTGCTTCAATGGAACGGTTTGATGCTAATACCAATAAGTGGACAACTCTGATCAACAATTTAACTTCCCCTAGATATTTACACTGTTCTGTAGCAATAAGGTAACCTATAGTTTGGGGATAAAAATTGTTAAAAAGGAAATTTTACTTTTTAAACAAAAACAGGTGTTACAGTTGATTTAGTTTTGGGTTTAGGTTTATTATTAATCGAACAATGGCTTTTATCTTTGTTTTCAGTTTTGAGCAATAAACTACAAACATTGAAAATCGTTGTTATTTTAACATATAAAGAAACCCAAATTGTCAAAAATTTCGGAATTGGATCGGAGTTAGGGGGATCGGAGTCAGGGGGATGTACATTCCTCAGCTTTGCCGCCAGACCCAAGCTGTTGCCCCTCTAAAAGAGACTTTTATATACTTTAGCTTTTTCTTTACTAAAATACTTTAAGAAATATGAGTCTTTAATGTTTACAGGCAGTATGGAGTACTGTTCATGCTAAATTAAGTGAAAAATAATTTAAATATAAAATAATTTTATAACCTGACTGACCACTGCATGTATTACTGCCTGTTTTAACTTAATCCCTAATTTTAAATATAGTGATACTGAAATGATAGTTCTGGGAGGATTTAACGAAGTAGTATATTTTTCAACTATGGAGAAGTATGATGTAGATGGGAAATTAGTTGCTACTCTACCCAGCATGAAAATAGCAAGGTATATCATTTAATCAATTGCATTTTTTTCTGCAAAAAATCAAGAATCAAATTTATTTAAAATTTTTTTTGCATTAGATTTTATACTTTGCTGCTTCGGAAATCAAAAAAAATATACTTTAACATCAATGCACCTTGTCTTTCTCTTTGAAGTAGAAAATTAATGAAAAACTCAATATCATGAATAAAGAATTTAATTAAGTTGAATTTGACTGACCTAAAACTTATCATTAATAATGCAAAAACAAAAGAGACAAAACAAATCAAAGCTTACTGTGAACCAAATTATGGTTAACACAGTGCACTGTAAAAAGTGCCTTTTATATTAGAACACTTGATGCAACTCCAGGGGTATATATTTGAACCCGGATAAGTTTACTTTTCAAGTCTATTTTACATTCAATACATTCAATATATTCATGAAATATAAATATTGTTTAGAGGCGGCCTAGGATGTACCTTGTACAAGGAAGAACTTTATGCAGCAGGAGGACTTGGTGGAAGGTACAGATTATTAAAATTTTTCATTTCTATAGTTGAAATAATATATTATGCATTATTCTCATACAATCTAATATTTAGTTATCGTCTTTTTGATGTTGAGGTCTACAACATGGTGACAAAAGAATGGAGAACCATCAACTCCATGAACACTGCAAGATTTAATCCCGGGCTTCATGTAGTAGATAACATACTGACTGTGTTTGGAGGGGGAACTACATATAGATCTCTTGAATATTTAAATGCAGCTGGGAATTGGGAAATGTCTGATGATACTCTTGAGAAAAATTTTCAAAAAGGAGATTCAGTTGCAATAAAATGTCCTGCCTAAAACTAATATTTCAAAAGTTTTTAAAACTTGATTTTTTTGATTGCTTGACACTTCCATAAATTATTTGCTAAAAATAACATTTATTTGCACCTTGCCCCTGCACAAGAATGTAAATTTAAAATACCTCTATACACATTCACATCATCAGGTTGCAAAGATATATATATTAGAAAATTTGAGTTTGTGACAAAGACTTAATACTTTGTTTCTATAATTAGATTCAAAGATTTGTTTGCTTTATATATCTATTTTATCAATTTTTAGAATTAAGGTTAATAAAAACAAATTTGGCCCATATAATTTTTATTTATTTTAATTTTCAAATAAAAAAACAGAACTGAAAATCACATAATTGATTATGATTTATTAACCAAACACATGTATATTTTAACCTCATGCACTTAAAAAAAGTTTTTTTTGTCTGTTGTTGTTATATTGCAACCTAATTTTTATTATACTTACTTGTTATAATAAATGACTAACAGAATTTTCTAAATTATATTGGCAGTGAAAGAGAAGAATAAAAGGGCTATTCAGGATGTCTCAATAAACATGGGAATTGAGAAACAACATTAAAGTTGTCCTCGATTTCTGATATTTAAGGCATGGCAAAGAAAGTATATAAACGAGATATCAGATATTAAAACCATTTTGATTTATTAAATAAATAGAATTTTGTAAAAATTTTGCAATATCTCTGTCAATTTTGAAGTTACAAGAAAGGTAGACCACATTTTGAAAATCTCAAGACCAGACGGTTTCGATGTTAGATTTTTAAACTGGAATACTGCAATAGTTATGTTCATGAAAAAATGCCACATGGATCGAAGACGATATTAAAGTCATCACTAAATTCCAATGTTTTTTGGGACACCATGTATGATATATCACATAGATCTTACCATAGACGAGATTTAACCCTATCTCTGCTGGGGTACTTGAAAACCAGGATNCCCTCTAAATCCCATGTTTGATGTCCAAATATGACAAATGATACATCATTGGAAAGCTCTTGTGCTCTACTTTTAGAATCTGCAAAAAAAATTGCGAATTTGCAAAAACTGAAATTTTTATCGCAAATTCCAGTTATATAGTAAAAATGTTTGCAAAAAATTTTTTTTTCAAAAAATGAAAAATTATACATTTTTGAAAAGCCCTTGACCACGTCATTTCAAATATGCAAAAAATTTTAAAAAATTTTAAATAACCTGATTTTTAATCAAGAAAAACTAAAAATGTGCAATTTTACTTTGACAGGTTGTTTGCAAAAAATTTGCAATTTTTTTTCGCAAAACTTGTGCAATTCGTTTCCTTATGTCGAAGGCTTTCCAAAAAGCTAAATTTTATCAAAATCTGACAAGTGAAAGTGGGTCAAAACAAAGATTTAGTTTGTTACAGGCAAAAGCAGTGAAAGAGGCAGTGTGCCTGAGGACTCAGGCAGTTAGTATTAAAGCCCGGTTTTAGGCCTTAAGGGAGGGCTTTGGGTATGTATGAAAAGTCGGAAAATACTTTTTGAGTTATGCAAAAAAACTACAGGGGGGGGTCAACTTGACCCCCCCCCCCCAGCGGGAATAGGGTTAAAAGCTTAAACCCGACTAAAACCCGGTCTTTGAGTCTGCTTAGACCCAAGTAAAGCTCAAGTCAAGACCCGGGTTTTGGATGGCCTTGAGTTTAGTAAGAACCAACCCTCTTGGGTTTTACTCTCTTTAAGGCTCGAGTCTTCAGCAGCTGATGATCGTAAATTTCGTAAAATCTTTCATATTTGTAAATTTTAAAACTCAGGAATTATTTGTAGTGTCAAATTTTATTGAATATATAAAATAAGCATACTATGAAAATAATGTATCAACATAAAGTTTGAATTTTCGAAATTTACATCTCCTTGTCACAGCTGATCTGACAGCATTCTGTCTGCTACAGAGAGAAAGCTTGCAACACAGTCTCTCATTGGTTGAATCAGAACCAATCCTGACTTGGGTTCTATCGAAGCCCGAGTTTGGGTTTTAGTCGGGTTTAAGCTTTTAAAATCTCATCTCAGGCTTCATTTGTTGCATCAAATGTATTGGGTCAACTTTACACTGTACACTCCAGAGTGGACAGTACAAGTATAATGATTCAAACAAACAATTATTTGTATACTCCAATATTTTTAAATATGTAATTTTTTAATTCTTTGACTTGTTGTTAAAATCTGAAACTGAATGTTTGCAATAAGTTATGTCTACAAGGTAAGGAGGTACAACAAATTATTGTATTTGTATACACACTTACTTACAGTAAATGTCAACCCGGCTTTAAGTGACTTTAATTGTTCCTTATTTTGATAATTGAAATATATTATTGTGGGGTCAAAAGTAGGAATATTAATATTAAAACTGAAAATACAGAAACAGGATTTTCAAATCCTTGTTTAAGTTTTTAACCTTTTATTCAGCAGTCAATCGTTTGATTATGTTTGTAGAAATGGTTTGATAAATCAAGATTATGTCTGTGTACAGAATAAAGAATATAGGAACTTATTACTCACAACAAGAATATAACAACTGATTACTCACAACAAGAATATAGAAACTGATTACTCACAACAAGACTATATAAACTGATTACTAACAACAAGAATATAGAAACTGATTACTCACAACAAGAATATAGAAACTGATTACTCACAACAAGACTATA